TCATTAATTTGAGAGGTTGTATCCAAAGGTTTTGAATGCTCATTTATTTGAAAGGTTGTATGTTTATTTTAGTTTTTAACACAATGTTTCCATTCAAAAAGTAGTTCAAGTAATTTTGGAACCATGTTTTCTTTTGATAAGTTAGTTATAAGAACATTGTGAAAAAGTTTATTTTAAATATTGTTGAGAGGTTGTAACTTATATATGTTTGAAATATATATATGTTTTGAAACAATGCATCTTTTGGAAAAGTTAGTTATTAAATATTGTAATATTTGTTTTAGCAGAAGACAATTATTATTATTGTAAGAAGAGATAATATTGAAAATAATATTGAAAAGATGTATTAGTAGAAAGTTGTGACTTTTCATTTAAAATAAGTATAATATGAAAGGTTGTAACTTTTGTTCTCTATATAGAGGTTATGTGTACAACATTCTTGAGAGAAAGTTTACAGTTTTAAAGAAGAAAATTGTGAAGAATAAAGATTCTGTTAAGTTACCCAAATACAATTTTTTAGAAGATATTCAAATGAAGCGTTGCCAACAAACAATAATAGGGAGGATCATTCGTGTTTGGATAGCCAAAAATCCTAAATGAAACAATGAAATTATTAGTCTTAATTTTCTATTAATAGACGAAAAGGTTATTTTTAGTTAATTTTTGAAAATTGGATCTCAAATAATGATTTGTATAAGAATTTTTTTCCTGAGTTGGGAAACAAGCATTTTCTGGCAGTTAATAATTTTGTTGTTTTATTTATTTGATGATTCAGAATGAAACTATTGTTGGATCTATAAATAATAAATTTATAGAACAAGTTGAAGAAAAAATTGTTGAGGGTAACATTTTATTGGTTACTGGTTTTGAAGTTTGGAAAACACATGAAAGCTATAGAATTTCGAATCATCGTTTCCAGTTACGTATAAATGACCAATCAACCGTGGAAATTATAAATGATTTAGTGGTATCAATAAATTTTGAGAAATTCCAGTTTCTTAATTACGATGAGTTTCAGTTGTTAGCCAATACCAATAAACAATTTAACGGTTAGTAATAATAAAAAAATAAATTATTTTAATAATACAAAGTTTAAATTTAAGGGATGATTTTTTACTGATATATTTTATATTAGATGTACTTGGTGTTATAGAAGAAGGGGGACTCTTGACCGTGGAAGATGTTGATATGAATTCAAAAATAGTTATAGACGTAATCATTGAATGGTAATAATTGTAATGATAATTAATTTTTTTAATTTGATATTTACGATCACTGAATTCTGAATATTTAAATATTGTCACCATAGTGGGAGTAAAGTACGAGTAACTATTTGGGGTGAACAAGTTACAAATTTTAAAAATGCAATTGGCAAAAAAAATCCGAAAGGTTTAGTGATTATTATAACAAGTGTCAATCGAAATTATATTCAGGTAATTTGTAAATATTTTATGTAAATTAGGTGGATATTTTTTTATATATATTGTAATATAAATATTATAACTTTTTAATAATAACATTGTAGGTTATTTATATTTGAATACAACATCTGCTTCAAAGATTTTATTTGATGACCCAATTAATGCAATTAATGATTTCAAGGATTGCTAAAAATTATTTTTTTATCAACTTCTTATTAAAAGTTAATTGTATGTGATAAAATTTTAATACTCCATTTTTTTTCTTAGGACACTCCCTAAAATAGAAGGCAATATCTTAAATGGAAAAGATTCTGTTAATTTAAGTCAACATACTTTTATCAAAATTTCCAATCTTCTCAATATCCTTTCCGAAGAATTTGAGGAGGTATATAAATATATTTATTGCTCTTAATCTATTATTGCTCTTCATGTTTATAAAAAATACTAATTGATTAATTACTTACAAAAACTTCTTGTGAAATGTAATTTATTATAGGATAAAGTATTTAGAGTCCAGGGTAAAATAATTGAAATATGTTCTAAAAGTGGATTGAACTACATTTCGTGTGGTAAAATAATTGAAATATGTTCTAAAAGTGGATTGAACTACATTTCGTGTGATAAGTGCAAGAAAAAACTTAAAAAAAATGAGAGACACTTGTATGTGATAACTGTTCCCATGAAGATATAACTGGATCATTGAAGTATCAAGTAGAGTTAGTTGTTGATGATGGATCAGATACAGCATCCTTTATAATTTTCAACAAAGATTTATAGAAGATTATAAAAAAAAACACCAACTGAGTTGGTTGAACACATTGTACGTTTTAGTATGTTATAAAATATTCTTTTTTCTTTCTTTTTTTCTAATATATAGAATCATTGAAATGTATAGGAAAATAACAATGATAATGATACAGAAGACAATGGTGTAATGTCTTTTCTAAATGAGAATCTGGTTGGTGGTGAATATAAATTTACAATTAAAATCAATTCATATAACTTCAGGTCCACATCCCTGGTATTACGATCCTTGAGACTAATAAATTAACCAGTGCTACGGAAATGTAATTGCTTAATATTTTTTGTACAAAGAAGTTCATTAATATTATTTTTTTAAGCGTAAACCCCTATTATTTACCAAACATATGTTTATATGTAGGATGACATTAATTTGAGTGATAGTAATATTATTGATAAATGTGAGGGAGGGAGGAGTCAAAACCACACCGTGAGGAAGAGGAAGACGGAGAATATGTATGATAAAAACATCAAAACTTCTAACTTGATTAAAGATTTGATTAAAAAATCTGGGAAAAATAATCTGAAGACAAAGGAAAGTAAAACAAAGAAAAGAATGTTAGTCAATGATTATCGGCGAAGAAGGAATATAAAGATTAAAGTAGATGACACATATATATGGAAATGAACTTTTTTGTGTTTAAAACCCATTTTGTTATTGACATTTTTTATAAATATATATTATGTTGCTAATTTGACAAATCAACGCCTTCGTTTCTTATGTAAACTGATAAACCGAAGTCACTGTTGACGGGGGTTTTTGTAGAATATTTGGTTTTTGGTTTAGAAGTTATTATCCTGAAATAAGAAAAACTGATTGTGTCATTCCTTATGTAACTAAAACAATAGCGTCTGGTTGTGTATATGATATTAATAAAACAATACATTAATTTTGGTTTTAATACTCAAAATGTAGGGGAATCTTGACGTGTTATTCACCGGAACCCAAACCGCGATGTTGTACTTCCACGGTATCGAGACATCACGGAGGATAACTTTGGTGTAAGAATCACATTTTTCTTATTTAGGAGATGATAGGAGAGAAAATAAATGATGGCATGTTTTTTTTCTAAACGAAGCTTGAGGTGAAGAAAGGAGAGAAACTAAATGATTTTAAGTTTTTTTTTGAAATGAAGCTTGAGGAGAAGTAAGGAACGAAACTAAATCATTGCAACGTTTTTTTGTAAACGTAGCGCCTGTTTTTTTTTATCAGCACTGAAGATATTTCCTCAATTGTTTAATCATCTTATGGTTTTTTATTGATGAGAATAAACGAGACCAAAAATGATCGGACGGTCTTTTTTCAGGAAACGATGCAAGTGTTTTCTTGTTTTGATTATGAAAGATTTTTCCTAATTTGTTTAATCATCCTCAGTTTTTTAATCACATACATTCTAAGCAAATACGGAATGTGTATTACTCGTGGAAAGGTTGTATAAAGATGCCTTTACACAGGAAGAGGCATAACTGAATGTTTGTGATGTTTGAGAAATAACTGTCTAAAAGACACCTGTTCAATACACATGTCGTTTGAGTTGTTAAAGTTGTATTTTTGTGTCATTTATAAATTGAGGACCATTATCTTCATTTACGAGTAACTCTCCCGTGAATACACTTGGGCAACAGAAAAACTACATTTGGAAAATTAAGATGGATATCACTCCAGGTAATTTCCTAAATACTTTTAAAAATTAAATTTTAAAAGTGGAAAATGAAATTTTCAATTGTCATATTTATTTCAAAATTCATATTCTTTCCAGCAATTGTTTTCTTTGATAATAATTGTAATAATTGATAAGCCAAAAATACTCTGTCACTCCTATTTTATGTAAACATACTCCTTTAGCCTTTATCTTCTATAGGCACTTTGATTTGACTAGAATATGAATCCTAACTAAGACATTACTTTACAGGATGGTTTTAGTCATACCCTCAGATAAGTGTATTAGATATATGGCGGCAACAAGCGGTGTCAAAAAAAGGGAGTCATATAAATTGTCAGAAATTTACGTAAACCCAACATTTGACATTAAACTAATACACGTATGTAATTAAACTATCGTGTAAAGGAATTGTGTGTAACTTTTTGTCTTTCAATCTACTTAGAATATAAGGACAAGATCTTAAATTAAGTGGCGGTGGGGTTCGTACTGGAAAATATTAAATTCGCACCTTTTGAAAATAGTGTGATTGTAACGTCATAATACGTGGAAATATTAAGACCACTGTGGAAAAAGTAAATTTTAATTACATTATAAAAACAACGTAAACTTTGAAGATAAATTTTAATCTATAACTGCCACATTCCAATATGAATATGATTAACATCGGTTGTTTGCAATAACTGAACATTTATTTTGTCAAGTATATATATATAAACTTCCAGAAGCCTATAGTTGCAACGTTTCAGAGAGACATGACTCTCCAAACCGAACAGTTGTGATTTTTTACAAAAACAATCGATCCAGATATAAACGCCCTCAAATTTGTAAGAACCCTTTCAAAACAGACGTGCTTATTTTGTTTGTATTTTACTACCCTAAAATTAGATAAACTACCTAAACATAGGATGAGTAAACTTTAGATGGAGTTAATTATTCTATCGACGCTACAAGTAGAAGAATTCCCAACGTAAGTTTAAAAGGTTTGATCACTGTTGAAGCATAAATTATAGGTACGGAATTGGAGTTCGAAAGGTTATTTTACACATTTACTATCAAAGAGTTCATTGAAGAAGAAGAAAATGCTCTAAAAGAAGATTTATATTATTCTTTAGTGATGGCGGGGTTGGCATCAGAAGACGCAGATACGCTAATAAGTAATATGATAATGGTTGCTGCAAATATAGTCTTCGCTGGAGATTATAGTCGGGATAATACGCTTGTTATTTTCGTAAGTGCACTTGAATCTCTCAACAATTTGAACTATAACATACAACTACAGCAAACAATTCAAGAGTCTATCAACGATGTACCACCAGTAATGAAGCCTACAAGTGAAAGTGCAATTGCTTCTTTGGAAGTAAACGTCGTGAAAGATGATGACAACCTTTCAGAAGACAAATGTGTTATTTGTTTGAGAAATTTTTTCCCAGGATCAGAAATTTTGGTTCTAAGCTGTGGCTAAATTTGGAAGAAATTGTTTATTAATGTGGCTTCGTTTACAGAATACATGTCTCATTTGTCGACAAGAAGTACTATAGTTTATAAGATTAAGATATTGTGTTGTTTGTGTTAATAAAAGGTTCATTTATTATTGTTCTCTCTTTTCATTACTCAAGAACGAGAAAGGTAAATTAAATAATAACATATGCGAAGTAGTATGTATATCTTAATAAATTCCGCACTAACTTTTCATTTGAAAACAGCTCATATAAAAACCTTTTCCAATTCAAAAAACACAACTACATATATTACGGTATAAGTCACCACTTTCATATTATTTGTTGATCAAATATACAAGTATACTACTGATACACACCTCATCTACCTTACCACCAAAAAATCAAAATAGACACATCCTTTTCAAATTCTTTTATATTATTTATTTCGTATTAAACTATTTAAAAGAACTTGTACGCATATTAAAGTTAATATAAGAAATTTACTAAACAAATTTTTTATTATATGATAATAAAATATTTTCAGATGTTCTAGAAAAGTATTTCATACTTCATTCATTTAGAAGTTGATAACCATGTTTCCATCTCTTTGTTAAAAACCGAGTTTGCGCGCGATATCGCGCGGGTTCATTTCCTAGTATTATTAGTGACAATGGGTTTAAAAATATTTGCTTCCTCAACAAAGATGCGACTCTGGTAAAATCCTATATATATTCCTTACTTGCGTTTGCTGTTTTTCATTTCAGTCCAGTTGGATAAGTAAGTAATCTTACATCTTATAGTTAGTTTTTGAGTTATTTTTTCATTCAACTCTAGTTAGTGTAAACTTGAAAGATCGTTGAATCTAGTCTTCTTCCAACTTTTACCATACTCTTAGAGATGACTAATCACAGTTTCACACAATTAAACAGGAAATCTATATTATAATGGATGCTTTGTTCATTCTCATCGTGCCACATAAACATATTTATGGGTTTCACTGCAAAAAAAATAGAAATAAAATGATCAGGAAAGAAAAATAAAAATAGATTGATCATGAATCAAATCTAGATTGTTTACTTTTCAAACAAAATCTTTATCAACAGACTACTATGTTTATTTGACATACTTTAGGATATTAGACTATATTACCTAAGTTATTTTATAAATAAAACAAAGTATTTAATTTATGGGTATCCCCAATTAATCATTAATTAGCTAGATCTTCATATTAATAGAGTGAGTATTTCTATTTTCATGAATCCGTTTTTCTTACTCTACCTTTATATCTTCTATCTTTATTCTGTTGATTAACAATAGATAATATTCATAACACATCATGTATTCCGGTCAATATATACTCTATCTAAACAGAGCAATCCTTCATATTTGATTCTCTCATGATTCTTTTTCTAGACAAATCTTATTACATATTTTCGGAAATAACTTCATCTTCAGCTTTAGATGTTGATGGATGGATTGATTGATAGTATTATCATAGGAATTATTTTCTTTTATCCAATCAACATTTATGAAAAAAAATATTTAGAAATTCATTTACAAAATATTAAATGTTCTTCAAATACTTCAAAGGTCTCATATGTAACTTTTGGAAGATCATTTGTTTTTAGAAAATATAAAATTTAAAAATAGTTATACATAATTAATTTCCTCATTGCTGAACCTACAAGTCCTAGATCCAGATCGAAATAGCTTTTAGCTAAACCGTGGCACAACAAGTCTTGAAAGAATTTTTTTTCAATGAAATCAAAAAAGCAAAGCACAAATTTGCTATAGATTGATAGGCAGAACGTACTGCAAAGTTTGGAGATGAAGTTAAAATCACAGTTAGTGAAATTAATACGCAACTCTTCATGCTCAATTACATTTTTTTCATGAACTTTTTTGTCTTTTTATTTACTTATGTTTATTTTTTTCTTTTTAAGTTTTTCATATTGGAAAAACTACATACTACATGGTGAAAAAGGTAAACATAAACTAATTAGGTCGTTGTTGATAAAAACAGGGTCAATAAATTTTTCAAAATGGACTAATTATAAAGTCTCGATTTGCTGAATTTGTGATATATGTTATGGAGATAGTTCAGAAAAGAAAATTTATAGGTGTATCTTAAAGTAACGTACAAATAGAGCCTAAGAAACTCGGTGGTAGAGAAAACAAGAAACATTCCTTTTTTTTTTTATTCTTGTGTTATAATCTTACAGAAATTTGATGATATTATTTTTGTTTACTTTTGAATCAAAATATATACACTTTTGCTTCATAATTGCTTAATATTAATTTCTTATTTGTAGATTCTTGGAAACAAAAAAAATTCAGCAAGTATAGCATTGAAATGTAGAATATGTGCATAAGATAAGAAGGGGAATACTATAAAAAAAATTAACATCAATTATGTTATACTTATGCTACCACTCAGTTTGACTTTTCATATGTAATGATTTGTCTTTGGTTTTGGAAAATAGATTCATAGCTGATGTGCATGTTGGGTTTATATTAGACTGTTGTAAGATCTACAAAACAAGTTTTAAATTTTCTTTCGAAGTATACCAATAAATATATCCCTAAAATGTATTTTCATTGTAAATTATATAACCTTCAAAATAAGAGAAAAATATACAAAATAAGAGATATACTATAACATATTAAAGAAGAAACAAAAGTTTCAGATTTCCTTACAAAGAAAAAAAGAGGGATCATCTCTCGTCTAGCAAAGTACTCACAATATTGCAAAATGGTTTTTTTTTTTTTTATGTTATACAAAACTGATTTTCCTCTGAATAAATTGGTGTTATATCAGATATTAAAGTAAACTTGTCGTTGTAGAAACTATACTCAGTTATTGTTTTCTATTTGTTATGTGTGATAGAGAGGATGCATTTTATTTTGCGTTATTTCCTATCAAATTTTGATTTTGGCTCTCCTTTTTCTTTTTCTTTTTTTTCTTTTTTTTTTCTTTCGACCTATGGGAACGCAGCCCTCTCTGAATCTTTGTGGTCGCCGGATCATTTCGTGAGGAGTTGATTGACCAGTGGTATAGAGCTATCAAATATGGCCAGCTCGATATATTTGCTGAGATAGAGCCATTAAGAGAAAAGGAAATAGAGTCACTGCTTGAGCGGATATCGTCTGGCTCCTCTGCTCAAGATCAGACAGAAGCTGCAAATGAGCTGCGCCTCATGACCAAGCAATCTGCTTATGTCCGATCTTTCTTTGTCAATGGGATACGCAATTCGGTCACCACGTCGCTCGAGCCCCTCTCTGCTTCCGTTGACTCGAATCCAGACCTTGAGGAGAATATCATCTTAGGGTTACTCTGCATCTCCATGGCTTGGGATAGTAAACCAAGAATTGCTGATAACCCTCTTGTGATCCCACTCACAACGTATATATTTTTTTTTCTCTAACATATATATATATATATATATATATATATATATATATATATGTTGAACTCTTAGTTACGAACTTACGACAAAACAAACTTTAAAGAAAACATGTTTTTTTTTGGGATTTGCAAGAATTATTCTGGTTTTGTTGAGCAAAATTTAACTAAAACAAAATAACAATTCAAGTAGAAAACATATATACATTTTAGCAGTAACTAATTTAGATTCATGTTCATCATGTAAGTAAACAACATCTAAATTAGTTTTATGCATATCTGATCAATGTTCGATTTTGATATTAGAGTTCAATTTCAGTTTTGACGCTAATACATATTTTTAATTTTGTTTCATTTGACCCCACAACATATATATATTCATCATGTAACGTAAACTACATCTAAATTAGTTACATGTGTGATCAATATTAAATTTCGATATTGGAGTTCAATTTCAATTTTGACGCTAAAACATATTTTAGTTTTGTTTCGTTTGACCTCACAAGATATATATTTTTCTCTAACATAAATCACTAGTTCGGCCAGGTAATTATGAAAAAACTTATAATTGTGACTGTTTTATTCCTTTTCTCGAACCAACTAAAACGTGAATTGAATCAAATACAAGTTTGTTCCATTATATATACATTGACATTCATCACATTGTTCATACTGCTTTTTTAATGGATTGTAGTTTTCTCTTTTGGCCGTCAATAGCTAGTTGATGCGTATATACGTAGCTTAAAAGTTGAGTTTTTAAAATTTATATTTTTAGTAAATTTCGTTTCTATTTTTATTAGTTGGTGGATTGCATACTTACTAATTAAAAAACATTTCATTTTTATATTTTCTATACAAGCACTTTATTAAATATCTATCTAATCACCCTTCAACAAATAACAAAAATCTACTATGATTAAAAGTTGCAAATGAAAGCATATGGGGATGTCCACGTCTGATTTTTTATTTAACCAATCACAATGCTTGAATCGTACACGTCACCGCGGCTTTTGGTTGGTTTTGGGCCTAATATTTTATTAATCTCGGCCCGGATCGCCTAATTTGAGAGGCTGCGATGTAAACCCTAATTTTTTTTCCCGAGTCTCTCTCCTCTCACCCCATCCTTTCCGGACTCTGCCTCCTCTCATCCAATTTTTTTTTTTTGATTCATCTTATCTTTATCTCTTTGCATCTTAATCTTGCAACTGGAACTCCACTAACCAGATACGATCTTTGCTGGTTCTGTTCCTCATCTTATAAAGCTTCGGCTGGACGAAGCATCGAAGGGATCGAGAAGACAGACAGCAGCGGCGGAGGAGGAGGAGGAAGACAGTTCGCTGCTCCTGTTACTACACTACCGTTGATTCCTCGGTATGGGACAATTTTTTTTAAAAGCGTGTGTTTTTGTGATGGGATTCGATGATGATGATGATATATATATAAAAGGGGTGGGAGATCTCAAGACCTACCGACGGTGACGCTGGAGAGGCTGAGCCTCCACCCAGATCTGAATCGAAGAAGAGGGTACGAGCTAGGAGAGAGCGCGTGACAGTAGTTGCTGCTCAAAGGCTTTTCCGACGAGTCGTTGTTGATACGCGTTCTCTTCATGGTACAAATTAAAAACACAAATCCAAATAGATGATCTAATCAGTGCGAAGGATTTCTTTCTCAAAATCCAGTTGTAGATAACATAATGAACTCTTCTCTCCAAAACTCTTATTTGTCGTTCAAAACCAAAGGTATCGACTTTAATAAACGGAGGCTATGATGCCATTGCAGAAGCTCCGCCTTGGAATCATTGACGTCAACAGATGTAGTAACAAGGAGGTGGTGATGAAGTTTCGCAGAAACTGAAATTCTATGTTTCTTTGTTGAGGGAAGAAGTCGAAGAAGATTTCACAGCCTTTGTTGGGAAAAAAACTCATCGAAGAGACCAAGAACTGTTCAGAAGCAAGTGTATGTAATGTTTCCTTCTCTCTTTCCCTCTGTAACACAATGAATGTTATAGCTTGCTTTGTTTCTTAACATTTTCGCTCCTGGTTGCTGACTCTTTTTCGCGGATTGTGGCTATCAGAGAAATTAACACAGACCCTTATGAGGAAACATTATCAAAGGTGTGATTCCTTGCCTCCTTGGTTTCTTCAATTGTTTTTTTTGGTTCCTCCAATTCAGTGTCCACGAAATTCTTTGTGTTATACTTTTGAATCTCTTCAGTTGTAAAAGAAAGAACAATATAGCAATGTGCGCATTTTTAGTGAATGAAAATGTAATCTCCATGTTAATGTCATCTCCATGCACTTTGAATCTTCTCTTTGTTTTTGTAAAAGAGACGAGTGGTGTTTCTATCACCAAAGCTAATTGTAATCTCCATCTGTTATTTTTGTTATCAATAGTGCAGGTCTCTGCAATTTTCTTTCATCTTTGTTTTTTATTTAATATTCTGGTTGGCTACTATGTATGTTGTTAAGATTGTGCTAAATTTTATTCTGTTATATAGAGACGACTCGACAAGTTTAACTTTGGTTCATGCAGGGATCCTGATGGTGATATCGCTCAAGGCTGGTCCCTAGATTACTTTTACGGTTTTACGAATGCGTGCCACTTGCGTATGAAACAGGAGGAATGCAACTTGGGATCTTTCTCCCGTTTGATTTTTCAACAAAGAAATCTCAACGTTTACTATGAAGAGAAGCTTTTCGATCTGACACTGGGGCAATGTCTTAGGCTCTTAGCATTGGATCTGAGCTACAATCTTCAAATTTCGCATATTCCTGGAGACGGAGAGAGGTACTTAGGAAAAATAGAGTTTCGACGAATCCATTGGAGAGTCGGAGATATTCGTCTATATTGTATGTGCGTATGTAGAAGTATAAAAATATTTAGAACTCAAATACTTAGCAAAACTAATTGAAAATCAAGTTGAACTAACTAATTGAAAACCAAGTTGCACTGAGTTAAGGAAACAATCGGAGGATGAGATATAGAGAGATACTATTTTCTGGATTTTGCGTTCTGTTTGTATACTTATTTTAAACGGTGGAAAAAAGAGTTTCCAAATTGAAAGGAAGATAACTGATAAGTTTTTGGTTCTTACCGATAAATTATTTGTTTCAATGGGGTAGATTGAAGAAGTCCATTTTTTTTTTTTGTAAACCACTCTTTCATTAGAATCCATTAAGTGTACATATTGGTATAAGCCCCAAAAGAAGTTAAATTCAAAAACCAAAAAAAAATACACAAAATCAAAGTTTCAAAGGATAATGAAATAAACATGTAACCTATTGAAACGACTCTAACATAAAACTTAAATATTTAAAATTTATTTGTACATTTTAAAATTGAAACCAATTGTAATTTTAAATCATAATTAAATTTTCAAGTACAATTTCACTAACAAATAATAGAATTAATAAACTTGATCAGTAGAAATACCACTTTGTAGCTATTGCTATCATCAAGGATCAGTTAAATATTGTATTTCAGAACTGTCTCAGACCATCTCTCACGTTATAACTCATCAACCTGGATAATCTAAGAAATGATCTCAGAAAAGCAATCAGCGATAGTTCAGCTATGGAATCAACAATTAACGTGGTGAGTTTATCTATATTTTGTTTGGCTATTTAAAGTCTTTGTTTAGTTGGTTTGTCGTTTCCGAAACAACTTTGCAATTAAGGGAAATATATAAACCTTACGTACAACTTTATCCTTTTTAAAGTACTTTAGGCAATATACTTTTCTCGCATGTCTTTCTTCCTTCATGGTTCGATATTCTGATGTCCTAGGTAGAAGAACATCAAAATATCGCAAATAATGGTCTTCTTTTTCTATTTCAAAAAGAAAATTCAACCAATTTATCTTCTACGGTAAATACAAAGTTAGGTTTTCAAACTAAACTAACAAACCGTAAACCGTAATAAGTTTATGGAAATGGAAGAAAAAACCAACATAATACATTAAAACTTTTTCATTAAGTTCCACAAACACAATAACCATTGTAAGTCCTATAACTGTAGCATACAAATACAAAGATCATGTCCTAATCATACATGGAGTCTGCATAGCTAACTAACACACAACCTCACAGATATTTAGTTATCTAAAATACAATTGAATAATATCATGATAAAGATGTATAGTAACCGTAAAACCATATTATAAAAACCGTAATGCCAGAAACAAACACTCCAAGTTGTACATCAAACAGAAGCAAGTGTGTATAATAATTTTCTTAAACAAAACTGAAAGAAGAAATATTAGTTGTGAAGATGATCTATTCACCTCCAAATGTCCATGAACTTGCAGTCTCTGGTTCTCAACAGCTAAAAGATCATAGATTTCTTCTTTATAAATCTCCATGTAGATTTCTTCTACAAACGAAGAACATAAAACACACATATTAAAGTTGACTCTCTTTTCTTGTGTGTGTGTGGGTAAAATCACTGATCATTGGATTCATGGGACACCTACCATTTGTATTCTTTCAAATACATCGCTGACAGATCTTCGAATAATCCATGGACCCGTCATTCTAAACGTCTTTCCACTACTATCAAAACTGAGAAACCGAAATCAAACACAACGACTGTTCAGGTTAGATTACCATTGAAACCCTCGACGGCTGCATGAATGATGTCCTTGGTAAGAAGTTCGTAGACGCACCCATTCGTATACCTTTCGTCGAACACATGAAGACACAAAGATGGATTAGAGGAAGCAACTAAGAGGAAGAGCAACACGGGGAGGAGGAGAGGAAGCGACAAAGAAGCCTTCTGCGTCTAATTTTTTAGGGTTCCTGGCAGATTGGGCTCTAATGAGCCAGAACAAAACCAGGAAAAAATTTTCTAAGTCCAACTAAAAGTGAGAATCTGGCAGTGACGTGGCAGAATGAAATGTCCCTATTAGTTGAATATAATAAATGACGTGGACAGCTTCAAATCTTCCAAATAGGAAACAATGTTTGGGACTTAGACAAAGGTTTCATGTAATTCTGAAAGGGTGAATAACAACATTATCTTACTTATTTTCTTACTGTCTTATAAAATCTTTGATATAATAGATTATAGTAACATGTTGTTCTTGATTGTATTAAGCCATCTGTGAAAATACTATAATAAGTATTCTATGAAATTACAAATAAAAGAATTCTTCACAAATTTGAATTTTAAATAATATATATATTCTAATTATGAAGTATTTAAATGATCACCTAAAATATGTCACAAAACAAACCAACTCTAAATTTACATAAAAACTCTAAATTTATATTAGTCAATCTATAAAAATAGATACATTTTAAGGAAAAAAACTTATATATCTTATTCAAAGCTTTTAAGAAAAATTAAAGACAAAAATTGGAATTTAAGATAAATAGAAAAAAACAACTTCAATATACTTTTTATGGTGGTGATAGTTTTTTTCTCATAAATTATCATCCAATTTTAAAAATCCATATTTTTCACCAAAATTAAATTATCTAATTATTAGAAATTACGGATAGTTAAGATTCTTTTAAAAAATAGTAAATTAATAAAAAATAGTTAACATAATTGGCAAAAATAAAATATAAATAATTTGAAGTATATAATCCGCGCGTAGCGCGGAAAATGCATCTAGTAAATATAAAATATCAATGCTAAATAACACGAAAATAATAAATATTAATTGACAACTGAAACATTAACTAATTTGAAGCAAAAAACATGTAATACGTAACAGAGGAGATAATTGAATTTCAAATATACAAATATTTTGTTGTAACTACGACGTATTCACAGAGTCTCGCCCTCTCCTCACAAGTCGTTTTTGTAAATATAGGGATTTCATTTTCTTATTACTCAATTTTGAAAAACAAAACAAAAAGAGAGGTGATTTGAGTCTCTACTGAAACAATAAGAGATGTTTGTCTTTTTAGCTTATAATTGCATATGCTGTTTTTTTTCTGCTATCTACAACTCCCCAACTTGAATCCAAATGAAAGATGGGTTTCACAAGCATATGTAAAGAATTGTTTTTGTTAGTGAAATGATACGTTTGACTAAATTATTCAAAAGAATTTGTTTATAAGACCACCCCATTAGAGTATCAAAGGGGGGGGGGGGTTCACACAGTTCCCCAAAAAACAAAATAATATAAAAAGTTCTTTTCTTGAACCTATATCACAAAAGTTTTCGGTGATGATATCGGTTCGCCACGAGTTCGCCATGTAACAGACCATGATTCGTTGAATTTTTTTTTAAAAAAAGTTAAACGAAAAAAAAAAGAAATTAACAAAATGACATTGGAGATCGTGCCAGCGGAGTATTGCTGATGGAGATGCTCTAATGTTCTAATGTTTGGCATATGTTGTTTCTGCTATCTTTCTTGTTGACTGCACTTCAACAAGTCGTCAACTTGAATCAAAATGAAAGATACGTTTGACTAAATTATTCAAAATAACGTTTTCAGTTTCGACTAATCAAATTTCAATCTTATTCAGAAAAATAATAATGAATCAAACAAACTAAAAACAAAATAATAATAAACCGAACCAAAGTCTGAAACAACTTTGTGTAACCTCCCTCACACCAGTCTTATGTCTTCCGTAACGCAATCTTCCGTTATCACACTAGCCGATGACTTTAGCTTGTCCACTGTTACCTTGCAGTCCACGGTAACCCCCATCGTCCACGTCGTAACCACACCAACCCTAAACCTAATCGGCGCTTTAACCCTCAGATCAAACATCACTTTTCCTCTCTTCTCCGACTCCTTAAGCTCTTTACGCAACGAGCTCGTTAACTGAATCCTCGACCCCATTAACTTCGCCACCGTCACCGTCACATTTTCAGCCGCCTGCTCAAACGCCGTGAACTCGCCGTCACCTAGTTTGACCCCCTCGTGGAAAATCTCAACCACACTTCCTTTCTCGTAGATCAAACCTAGTTTACCGTTAACGTTGTTACACCTCACCTTGATCTTGATCACCGGAGAGATAGGAGACGGTGACGTCAGATTGATTCCAACGACGGAGACTCCACTCACGGAGAACCGTGGCTTATGTGGTCGGCAAATTAGTAAAAACACTCCAACCACGAGTGCAACGAGCACAAGGAGAACGAGTAACGCGGCCAAGAAGTAACAGCAACATCTGCGGCAACCTGATCGGTTATGTTTCTGACGAGATAGATGCTCGTAAAGGCGAGCGTTTTCCGGGGGAGGAACACGGTAGATTTGCTCTTTAGGGAGTTGAATATGGTAAGTCCCTGGTGGTGGCCTTGGTCTTTGAGACTCGGTGGAGTATAAGCTCGAAGTACTATCGATACTGTCTACAGATTGATGATGATGACGCTTTGGTATGTGGCTGCCTATGTCTTTGTCCGTTGTGAATCCGCCGGAGCTTCTTGGGGAACGTTGGATGCTGTCGTTTGTACTATCGATTGATGGACGTATGTTTTTGTTTCTTGGCCATCGTTGAGTGTTGTTATCGTCGGCCATGTTTATTGGTGAAAGATGAAAAGAGGAGAGGGGAGGAAAAAAAAGAGTTGTGAAATGGAGAGTGAATATATGATTGAATGGATAGTAACAAATCATTTCTGAATTTATGAGTTTGATTGCATGAATATTATTTAGGGATGTATACGAGGAAACTATCAATAAGTATTCATGATTGATGGTGTGATATACTTATATTCCGTACATTTCCTTGTTTACCAATATAGTAACAGCATCAAAAAATTAATGGAAAGTAGTTACGAAAATAAATATTGGTCAATCGAAACTTTCCAACAATAATAAAAATACTAAAGTTGAAATGAACAAGGAAAATTTGAGAAACCAAAGATTTGGAGACGCGGAATAACGTTAGTACAGTGAAAGATAATCATCAGATAACTCGATTTTTATAGTAAAACTAAAACAAATATCAAATTTAATACAAAATTTAAACTAATCGAGTATGAATATATTTTCTACCATAAAGGCTATATGGTTAAGCTCAGTAAATATCGCGACTTGAAGAATGATGATAGTACATACACTCACTGTGTACAGTGTACTCTCCCCCACAAATCGAGTTTATAAATCGCCAAAGATGAGTTGTAAATAATAAATTTTCAGAACAAAATCTACAAGACATCAACTCTTGAATGTAGAGTGGTCCAAATGTTGTTTACCATGAATACATGTGAATTTGTTTATAGGAAAGAACAATCATGAATTATAGTTTCAATTCATTTCTTTCAACAATAATGGAAATGAATGGTTATAAATCAAACATCACTTGTGGTCGAATCAAACTGAATATAGTAATTATCAAATAAAAATCACCCAAATCAATAGTTTCTTTACTTTATATGATAGAAGTCACAGATCTTACACACATATGTTAATGCAAACAAGGCAGATAACTTGATACCAAAACCAAAGTTACACCTCAGTGTCACACACACGATCATTACAGTAACCTCAGTCTTTGGGCGGTCAGACTCAACTCAAGACAGATGATTACTGACTCTGTCTCTCTTTTTTTTTCAACTAGAACATATATATATATACTTATTACATAATAATAATAGATGGTGATATTTGATAAAAGTGGTAGTGTTCTTACAAGGTCACCCCCTATTTCTTGTATTCAGATGTTGCTTTTAGTTGCAGTTGGTGTCGTAGCTTGCAAGACCAATTAGTTCCGGCCCCTCCAATCTTGAGTTCTTCTCAAAGCTGCACCATTGTTTAAAGTTTTTATTTAGGAACAGATGCTTATATGAAGAAAAGAAACGGAAACAAGCTTACTTCTGCAAAGGAATGTGTTCAAAAGGTCCTCCTGTTGGGATGGTTCCACACAAATCATTGCTTGACACATCACTGAGAAATGATGACAAAGAAATATGTTTTAGGTACGAGCACAATAGGTTGGATAAGAAGGGGTTCACAGATTGGGTATCAGAGAGCAGCAACAGAGCGCTTAGCAAACAAGCTAAGAAAATGGAAAAAGCTGAACTTACACAACTTTGAGGCTTGGGATTTTCGTGAGTTCTCTAGGGATTGGACCAGTCAATTGGTTGTCATTGAGCCGTCTGCATCATTAAACAGTTTCTTAGAGAGGCAGGGTATGAAGAGATAGCATAAGAAGTATCAGTTATTGAGTCATATCACATGATGAACACCTAGCATCACTTCTGTGATAGACCACCGCAATTTTTTTTTTTGTGAAATGCAGAGTAGAAATGGTTCCTTCAGCATAAAATTTTTCAGAATGTTAGAACAACTTACAGAAAGACCAGAGACTTCAGTTTCCCCAAAGAAGTAGGAATCTTCCCCGTAAGATTGTTGTTATAGAGATCCAAGCTGATGAGGCTCTTCAGGTTTGCAAGTTCAGAAGGAATAGTTCCTTGAATGTTGTTTTTGTACAGCTCCCTGTGTCAATCATAAGACAAGTTAAAAAAAAAGTTAATCTACATTGTCTATTACATAATCAAATCTCTTAGTGGTTGCACTTTATGTGGGTACGTAACTTTATTTCCACTATCTAATTTTCTTACAGCTTGTACAAGAAAAATGTTCCAAAAATAAAAGCCAAAAGATGTGGTAACATACAAATACTGTAGATGTTCCAGTTTTCCAAGCTCAGGGGTAAGATGTCCAGAAAGGTTCGAATTACCCAAATCCCTGGAAAATGAAAGAGAGTGTAGAATCAGAAACACACCATTCTTTATATCCAAGAAGATTACAAGAGATATTAGATACGTAACAAGTTGTTGTCGATTCATTAAACTGTTTTGAGAGATAACTAGATGTAATCATCAAGTACAACGAGTCCAAGATTCTTGTAAAAAGTGTAAGAACTCACAAAAGTAGGAAACAACAAAGCATTGAGCAAAAAACATGAGGTGAAAGCAAAGTTGAACTGCTTAGTAGATGGAATAACTATTGAGGGGATTCTTTCGAGACTTTTAAGGAATCCAATGACTTAGAGAGAGATCTACACTGTACAGAAAATGTGAGCGATTTCCCTTTTTTCATACTGGAAAGTTGAGCAAGAAAAGTGTTTTCTTTTCTTTCCCTAAACAGCCGTACAACATCTTAGATAGTTTCATGAATAACCAAAATAAAGTTACACACAGTGATGATGAAGTGGTTCGAAAGACAAAGGAAAGCTGAATCATGACAACATAAACTGAATCCACAATTGACTTGACAGGAAAAACTAACATCTAGTGAGGCAATTTTCAATTAAATATGTTCACAAAATCGTACTATTACTAACATTTTTATTTATTTATTTACAGAATGTCCACAAGAATCATTCTTAGCTCTTCTAAAATTTATAAGCTTTAAAAAGTAAATAACAAGTCAATCACGGTCAACTTTATCTTACATCTTCCTCAATGACCATATACAAAAACCACAGCTTAGATTAAAAAGGTATGGATAAGACTTTTAAAACCATCATGCTAAAGCTCAGACATCATAAAACATAAAAAGGTTTATAATTGCAATCCAATTGTATCAATCAACTTGACCAAGCAGGAGATAAGACACAGGGAGAGATTAGAGAGAGAGGATCTTACACACGAGTGACACGGTTATCTTGGTTACAAGTGACATGAAACCAGGTACAAGGGTTAACAAGAGTTGGATCCCAGCTCTGCAGAACATGGTCTGGATCCGATAAGCTCCTGCGAAGAGCGTATAGAGCATCTCCCTCCGAGTTTGCTTCCACCAGGTGAAGAATCAGAGCTAAGGTTAGAGTTAGAGAAGCTGCGAGAAACTCCCACTGAAAGTTTGTAGACGCCATGTGAGAGCTATTGAAGAAATTTGAAAGGAAAATTGAGTAGAGCTAGTTTTTTTTACGATCAGATGAGAAAGTGAATTAGGGTTTTCGTTTCCCCCCTTTTACTCTTCTTTTGTTGAAGAAATCGATTGTGCGATTTGCGTGTGGGGAACGATGAAGAGACAGAACTACTCCTACTTTTGTCTTCTTCTTTTTTGGGTACATCTAGACTTTTTTTAAGTCCTGTCTTTTTGTTTTTTTGTTTTTTTAAATATTTTTTCATCAAATCTTTGTTTCTAAAAAATTAGACCACTTTCAACTTGTATTTGTGTGTATAAATAGTTACAATTGACTCTAATATATCTCTATTTCTTCTTGTAAAATAAATTTGGTTCTTTTTCTGGATTTAGAGATAAAATATTTTGTATTAGAATAATATAGCAAAAATATTTGAGGAAAATCTACTTTTATTTCTTTAAAATAGCAAAATCTATTAGAAGTGGTTTGAATGTACAAAAGATTCCATGAGATAGATTAAAGACCTCACTATCTAAGTGGAAAAGTCTTTTTCTAACTTTTATTTTTGGTTTGAAAAAGTTTTGTAAAGTAACTTTGTTGGTCAAAGAAGTAAAGAGGGGTTGGTCAAAATTTGGTAACTAGAGTTGTTCACACGGATTCGTTGTGCACACACACTATTCCTGTGATATTGAACCTTCCTTCACGATGACTATGGAACCTGAATGTTGTGATGATAATGATACTCACTTTTGCGTGGTTTGGTACAAACGCTTTATCGTTCAATCGATGGAATGTGAGTTTTGTGCACTAAAGAACAAAAAGAAAGAGTTGTCGAGTGCAACTTGAGAATTAGTAAGATATTAAGAAAAGTCAATGATATTCGATTCTCTTAAGATGGAATCTGATACGACAAACATATACTAACACTTGAATGTCGGAATAATAGCAACTCCACTCCACTTGGTTATATCTCTTAAATTAAAGGGTAATGGTAGATGACCAAATAAAATGGGTAGAAATTGGCTTTTCACCTGACAATTGAACTGTAAGGTGAAATTATGAACATTTTTTTTTAATTAAAGTCTTGAAGGTTATAATTAGAATGCGAATGATGGTTCTTGAATAAGAGACTAATGAATTCTTGAGAATTACGTCACTATTGCCATGCATGAGCTGAAAAAATTCAATTAGCACAAGACATTAGTGTAGTTAGTTGCACGATGGATTTTGTTTTGTTTCAAGAATTGTGTGTGTTTTCGGTTACACTCCCTAGGCTTTTTTTGAATCCACTTTGCACCATCAAAGTGTCTGCTTATTGACAGTGAGATCTTTCTCCTACATTATGCTTACTATATATTTTGATTAATCCTATGCAGGTCTACAAGAAGCTCTTGGTTGCTTGTAATGAACAAATGTATCCTCTCTTGTATTTATTTAAATTCAACACTAACAATACTCTGCTTTAAGATAAACTATGGCTTCTCTAAAATGATATTATGTCTTTCAAGTCTTTGTTTGCTAGTAGCTACCTTGGCCTCATTCATATCGTTCTAGATCAATCTAGGCATGATGAGATGCGCGTTTTAGGTTGTGAAGCTCTTTATGATTTTGTTACCAATCAGGTGCATAACTATTGATACACTTCCTGTCTTATGATAAACAACATTAGATTCTGGAGCCTGATAATGTATGTCGCTGATTTTCTTTCCAGGCAGAGGCAACGTACATTTTTAATTAGACGGGTTAATTGTCCCTTAGCTCACGAACTGGGAGAAGAAGAAAGAACAATACATCTGTGGTCTTCTGGGCTCCAAGCTCTCTGATCCTTGGCTACTCATATAACTCAGTTTATCGTCTTTGGCATGCTTGTTTTTTTCTACTCAAGCTTTGCTTTGGCATGCTTGTTTCCTTCATAGGATATGTATTTCGTCTTGTACTGATTAAAGAAGATGCAGCGAGGATGCTGAGAACCCCAAGTTTTGGTCAAGAGTTTGTCTGCACAATCTAGCAAAAGAAGCAACAACAGTGCGGCGTGTGCTCGAGTCTTGACTTCAATGAAGTTTGGTCCACCGAGAACGGTCTTGCTTTACATGTTTTGCAAGACGTACAGTTGCTGATAGAACAATCTGGTATGTCTAGTCTCCATTTGGTTTATACTCAGCTTTGTTAGTAAACTACTAATAGTGTTAGTTAACTAACAACAGGGAAAAACACACACTTCTTGTTATCTATCTTGATAAAGCATCTTGATCACAAGAATGTTCTGAAGAAGCCTAGAATGCAACTTGACATAGTCTATGTTGCTACTTCACTTGCACAACAGACTAAAGTTCTATCATCCGTGGCGATAATCGGTGCTTTAAGTGATATGATTATGCATCTGAGGAAGAGCATTCATTGTTCATTAGATGATACAAGTCTAGGGAATGAGAATGATTCAGTATAATCTGAAGTTTGAAACTGCAGTTGAGCAATGCCTTGTGCAATTATCACAGAAGGTAAGCTCTAATAAAAGCTAAGACAATCTTTGTTGAGAATAGCTTTAACAACATGGCTTGGTAATGTATAGGTAGGAGATGCAGGTCCTATCCTTGACATAATGGCTGTTTTCTTTTGCTTCAGAACGGCCTAAGATACAGCAGTTAAAACATTAGTTTCTTTTTTTTTTGCTTCAAATCTCATAAGAGTAATGTTTGATGACTTATATAGAACTCAAGTAATGAAGTCTTGGTATGGAGCCATAGTTTATCTTAAAGCGTTCTGGTATGTTGTAATGAATCAATATTTTGTGCTCTTGTGTCTGAAAATGTAAGTGTATCACTATAACATGATTCTGTTTCATTTTAACTTCTGTTTTCACGGCAGGCTGAAACTCAATTGCTTATACCTGAGAATGATTCCGTGCCTAGTCCTCCAGAAGATCAGCTTGGTTTTGACACACAACCTGATGCCAAAACAGCATTTCTCCTAAGCATAGATGAGCTTCTAAATACAATGAGTAAAAACAAACGCAAAAATAGACTTTGAGAACAATTTAGAGATAGGAACTCACAGGAGATGAGAATGTGTGCAGGTTTCTCAGACAACAAAACAGTTAGGGAGATGCTCAAGTGTCTGATCCACCAGACATGACATACACAGAAATGGCAGGACATTGCGAGGCTCTTCCCATGGGGAAACAAGAGAAGATGTTATTCATGTCTTCTGCAAAAAGCAACCAAACTAAAGAAACTAGTACTGCTCTGCCTTTCGGTGGTGGGAATCCTTTTCTGGATCAGCAGAAAAACTCGTGGGAGATGATGGGACCGGGTGGTGCATCGGTAGCTTCAAATACGTGCGTCACAGAGTATCAAAACCATCCTTCTTTCTTCAGTCCACCTGCTTCTACTCCTTTTGACAACTTCCTTAAACCCGTTGGTTCCTCCTCGTTAGTTCTTAATTTTAATTTTCAGCTTCTACTATTATCTTTATAAAACACGAATAACCATCATTTATTCCAACAAAAATGTGCGTAAAGTAAGTTAGTTGCCTAAATAAACACTTCTTTTCAGACTGAATGAAGATGCTTCCTTAGAGAATTAGGTAACAAGATCATCTATTAGATTATAGCTTCTTGTTTGGTGTGTAAACGATACTTGTAGGCAAAGCCGACCACTACAAGATCTTTCATAATGGGATTTTGTAACTTTGATTGGTCATATCAACAGTTGGAAAACCATGTTTGTTTGTATAGCACATGATGTCACGCTTTAGGCCCAATTTATTTGAAAGTTTCAAAAGTGAAACAAATTGAAAGTTTTGGAAACTTCCTTGTCCATTTCTCCTTTTCGACAAGTTCATGATTTAGAATGTTTTTTGGGTCGAAATTATCTTTATTCATAGTTATAACAAAAAAAGTTATTACTAAAATATCATTAACTTTTAATTGACGGCAGATTTATTTTCAAAAAATAAATCTATAAGTAATAAGTCTAAAATCTGTATATAAATTGAGACATCAAACAAAACAAAATTAACAATGTGTTGTTATACATAGTGTTGAAATTGAAAATGAACTTCAGTATCGAAATTGATCGTTAATCATACATGCACATAAACTGATTTAGATGTTGTTTACCCTACATGATGAACATGAATTTAAATTTGTTACTGATATGTATATATGTTTTTTAAATTAAAATGTTGTGTTATTTACTATATTTTGCTCAACAAAACCAGAATAATTCCTGCAAAAACATGTTTTCCTTAAAGTTTATTTTTCTCTTTATTTAATTCTGTTGAAACCAATAGCTCAAAACTAAGATTTCAAGTGGTATCAAAGGCATTCAACTATTTTCCTATAGGCTATATAATGTTTGGAGTTTAAGTCTAAGAAAATGAACTAGAACTGTACTATTTTTGTTAACTAATGTCAAGTCACTATCCGCGCTGTACTAGGAGATTCCAACTCCAATTGGAGTTAAGCGTTTCACAGAGTCTTTCAGCAAGCTATGCGATTTACTGGTGGAGAATCTTGTAAATGTTATAACTTCACAAAGTATCTACAAGTCAGAGAGGTTATTATATATACACCAAGGCATAAGAGATGAAACGATGAGAATTTGGGTCTCTTCCCCTGAGGCTAATGGTCTGGTAGATTGGAAGTCATTGTTTACTGTTGACACATTTACTATCCCAGTTATAATGCATTTTAACTTCAACTCTGTGCCTTTTTCATCTCATAGATGGAGAAGGTTTCATCAATGAGACGCTCAAGGACAATGATTGCTCCGGACGCAGATACAACGTGTACAAAATCGGCAAAGAAGGGATAATTAACATTTTAGAAATTGGAGAAGATCTTAGAGATGATTATGGAGAAAATATATTTAGGCGTTCTATGCATACTCTCTTATACACACCTGTTCAGGTATTGATTTGTAATTGCTTCTATAACTACTGTGATTTGTGGACTTAAACTTGTCATGACTTGTGCCAGGTGCGCTTTAGGAGATCATGAGATGCTTCCGCGACTTTTCTTTATCAGTTTTCAAAAGGTATACTTGTAATCATTTAGTCTTTATCTTGACATCCATTTATTTGCTCATCACGAGACATCATCTATTACATGTCTTACTAAAACAGTTAAACGTGACCCCCATGGTGATTGATTCGTTTTGG